CACACTCACACTCACACAGCACTGTAGACAACAAGGAGAGGATTAGGAATTTAATGAAGAACAATAACTGTGAATACAGGTCACAGAGCTGAATCAACAGTGAAGGATGATTCTGCCGAGGCCTCATTGTCCCCTGTCACGTAAAACAGAGTATAAAGAGACGTCGACACACAGATTAGTGGGGCATTAGGGAACTGGGGCACAACCCTAATTTGACTATTAAGTATCATGATGGGAGCGTAACTCAGCACTGAGAGGGTTTGTGCTGACGAGGTGACGTCAGCGGTGAGCAGATTATCCATTGTGACATATTTTATGTTTTTAATTAAGAGACTTATCATTGCTGCAGATTTATTTTTGGTGTCGTGCAGAGTTTGTTCTAATCATGCCTGTTTGCTTTGCAGCTTTCTTTCTGAAACTGCAAAAGTGATCCATGATCGACTGGATTCAGTTGCTTTTCAACCTGATTTTATCATCATTTCTTTTCGTAAAAAGAAACTGAATTTGCTTTATTACTGTTGTAACGTGTGGCTTATATATTATTTGGAATGATTTACTTAATTGGTAAAAGTTTTTTCATACATTGCATCTTGGCTATTTCAGGGGTCTGTTGAGCAAGCAACACATGTTAACTTTTCAAAATAAAAGCTCCATAATTCAGCGCGATATGCAGCTTATATTGCGGCAACAAAACGAACATCATGCTTTTACTTTGTAGACAAAGTGCTAAAGAGGAAGGGATTCTATGAATGTTGTAGTCATGATGGGGATCGGCAACCACGACACCCGAGAATTTCTAAGTCGGTCCAAAATGGTGAAATAAAATAATCAAAGCATGAATCATTTTGCAATGATTTGGATGTGTGGTTGCTGTAGTTTATCCGAGAACAAGTCAGTCTGTAGACTGTGGGCTCACTGCCCTGCCCCCACTGACTGCTACAGAGGGCTGGTCATCTGTTTAGTTAACTTTTATTAATATTGATCATATCACGTGTCCAAATGGCACCAAAATCTACACTTCCTTGAGCCATTAAGAATACACATCTCAAATGTGAAGCCCATAAAATGAACAGTTCATAAGATTTACATTCCACACAGATGGACGTTTGTGGAATTAGTCACATACATACAGTCCCTTAAGAATCCAAGTAAATTAAATCCCAGATTGAGATTTATTTTAACTTGAGCACTTTTTTGCACAGTTTATTTGCTTTGTTTTATTTGCTTATCTGCCCCTACACATGAAAATATGGAGTTTCCCAACCAGGAAACATTCAATAAACTGCTTTCAGACATGAACTGAACTACACAGTCCCTCCGCATTTTCTCTGGAGGACGTGCATGCATGAACGCGAATGTCTGAGTGAGAGGCTCTGTGGTCCTTTCAGACTTTATCCGCCTGAGCTCCTAATGAAGTAGACGTGTGAACACAGCATTAAATTAATTAAGGAATTAATTGTAAATAAAGTCAAAAAATAAAGAAGAAAAAAAGTGACGCAAGAGGGGAAGGGTGAAATGTAAAAATCATGATGATTAAAGGAGTCAATATTCAGCAATTTATGCATGGAAAAGTAAGACATTGTATATTATCACATCATATCTTATCACATCTCAATGTATCTTAAGTGCGTAGTATGGCATCACATATCAGTTTATTATGAAAAAGTACATAGAAAGCAGCATTGACTTTAATTATTAGTCACTTGCCCAACTTGTGACAGATCAAGTTTCTGTTGATCATTTGATCATTTGAGTCCTTTCAATATTTAGTTACTCACCAGACCATCACTGTTTTTGGAGGATTTTCATCCAGATAGCTTTAGAACAGGGGTTCTCAAAGTGGGGTCTGGGGACCAACATGGGTCCTTGAAGGGTCGCAGGGGATCCCTAGCAAAAAAGGGAAATCGTTCATTGTCATTCATGTGTAAAACACTGACAGAATGTTTGACAACTTTGGATCTGAATTTCATACACTTCTGGTGATAAAATATTGAAAAGCAAAATTCCTTGAATTGAACTGGGGTTTGTGTTCTAGTTTGTGTCAGTTAAGGATTTACAGTATATTGCAAAAGTCTGAGATGCTCTGCTTTAGAACACTAAGGTCAAATTACATAAGACATAAAATGTGAATTTCTCCTGTGGTTAAGTCAGATTAGTCTCTTTCTCTGTTTTAATTCATTTTTCTCACACAGCTTCATATGAATCAGATCTAAAATAGGTCAGTGCAGAGGTCAAACAGACAAACGCCTCTCAGTTATTAGTGCATGACGCACAGGGCGTTTCACTACATCCACTTGTACACATATAATAACCAAATGGGGATATGAGGCAGAAAAGTGGAAAATATGCTCAAAGTCCACTATGGATCTGCCCAGTCACGTTGCAGCTCAACGTGACTGGAGGACGTGGGCGAGGTGCCAAAACAAAATGTGATGTAAGGGCTCCAGGAGAATGTATGTCACATTCAAGGCAGAGTAGGAAATGGCGGGCTTTGCCAAGTTATTTGACCTACTACTAGAGGAATGAGCACACGAGGGGCGCCGCGGAGGGAAGGAGCACAGGTTCCTGCAACAGGAGTTAACTCAGGAGTTAACTCGTGAATAAAACGTAAGAGGATTTCTATGCATGCAATAACACCTTATAATCACACATATATCAGTATTGGATACATTATGTTTGTTTTTCCCACTTTCGTAAATTTGTGCGTGTTTATTTTTTTGCACTTCTGCAACAATGCAACTGGACACACTGCTGCGTTCAATTGTCGTCAGAATTGATCGCATTGTTGTTTACCTCAGCTCCCAATTGTTTTGACGGGAACCACGTGACCCCTCGGCTCTAGCAGGGCGAACCCTCCCCTCTCCCCCCCACCCCCCCACCCTCCTCCTCAGTGGGTATATATCCAACACAAACACGTCGCAGGGACATAAGAGCCACAACGAGAACGAACCCTCCCGTGGATCGTTCAGACTGACTCTGTTTGTTACCGCGGGTCCGTGGAGTACACACACACGCCTCTCGCTGCGCAGTTTACGGAGCGAACGTCAAACTCCGCATTTTCGACACGTTTGAGCAACGGACGCTGATGGTAAGACAAGAAAACACGTTTCTCTTAACTTTACTTTATTGTCAGTTGTCAACGTGGTCGTGATGTTTTTGTCCCCGCACTTTAAAGTCGGTGTTTGTGTTTTAAAGTTGTCAGAGGTAAACCTGTGTCCGTTTTTTTTTGACGCGTTAACTTCACTTTTCCAAACATTAAAACAGAGACAACTTTAAACGCTAAGCTAACACTGGTGTGTACTTGTTGACTTCTGTTAAAGTGAGTGTTGTGTGGTTGTTGTGTTGGAGTCGTATCGGATGATGCCGGAGTTTGACCCAGTTACGTCGCATTCTCTAAAACCTTTCGAAGCTTCAGTCTTCGACCAGCTGTGAGGCTAACGCTGCTTTAATGCTATTTTACGTAAGTGTCGTGAGGTCTTCAGGTGTTTTTCTGCGGATAAACGTAAAGCTACGTACGTTTTTCACGCATTTTCCAGACACGAACAGGCGCTTGAATAGTCAGCGCTGGTGTGAATGTGAGGCTGTCGTGGTTCGGTTGTGTGTTTTAGTGTTGGGGAGGTTGTTGAGTGTAAAGAACGAGTGTGAGACTTTGACAAGTTGCGGAGCTGAAAGTGTGTCGCATCTCATTGACCCACATTCTCACCGAGTGTAACTGCGTCACCAGCGTCTTCTCTCCACATCTTCTCTCGCTCTCACAAACTCTGGAAAAGCACTTCCTGGTGTCGTGTCGCGTTGCGTGGCTCGGTTGCGTGTTTGATTTTGCGTTGATTCGTCTCTTATTGTGGAATCACTGCTGTGTGGAGGAGTTTGTGTGAAATAGTTGGAGTAGTATTTTTTTCCCGGGTCCGCCGCGTGGAAACCTGAGCTGAAGACCGCGCCCACTTCGTTTCTCGACGCAAACAACTTTCACTGGCAGACTGGGGCAGCCCTGTCGGTCAAACACGGCAACTACACTCACTCGTTTCTAATTTTCTATCATTTTTAATTCCGATTTATTTATACATAATGAAACCAAACCGATCAAAGTGAAGTGGTGCTGTTTACATCGACCTGACACCAACAGAGCACATTGAGGAGAGATGCGTGGACATGTGGCCTGCAGGGGTTTCTAACCTGCTTTTAAACAGATTATATGACTAGACTGACAGACGTCGTAAAATAAAAAATATTGGATTTGAGAAAGTTTTAAGCGATGACTTCTCTGTGTGTCAAACGCTTGCACAATACTGATACCTCCCCCCTCGAACCCTCTGGTGTTTTTACAACATGGCCTCTCATTTCTGTCTGCAGGCTGATAAGGTGCTTAAGTGCCATTGTTCATTTATTGTGTTGTAAGCGCAAAGAACCAACAAAGCCTGTTGAATTGAGCCAATGTTATGAACTACTATAAACAACCTACAAAAATGAGCATCTTTTACATTGGTTGTTAATTATGATAAATGTCACCTTATTATTTTGATCCTGTGAAGGTTGTGGTTGTAAACTCTTCTTCATTGATATTTTACAAATCTGAAATGGATCAATTAAGCATATGTTCCTCAAGCATAAGCATTATATCACTATATGGACTTTTGTTACATTGCTATTGATAAAATGATATTGTTATAGGTATTAATATTGTTTTATCTCCCAGCTCTGAGTCTGTGTGATGTCAGAATGTCTAATGCATTGCAGAGTTGAGTGTATATGCAAAATTAGTTGTACTTTTATTCAATTAAATATGCCCAAAATATAACAACATTACAGTTTCTCTCTAAACTAGGAGTTAGGGCATTTTTAACCCTGGATAATCATTTAGCAAAAACAAACACAGAAAACAATAAGCTTGTGAAAGGATCAAATTGGCTTTATTAGTTGGTAAATTGGTCAGGCTCTAGTAATTTAGGTTCTATTGCTGTATTTGAACATAGGGACAAAGGCACATGACAAGATCAAATCATCTAATGACCCTGTAGAGTTCTGTGACTGATGCAGTTCTGCAATTTGATGCAGTTGCTGAGGGTCCCCAGAAAATTCAGACTGAGTGATACAATCTACACTCCAGGTAGAAAACCAATGATCAGTCCAGGTCAGTGTCAGAACTCGACAGTTTTACTCTAATGAAATGTGTCAGATGAGGAATGCAGAAAACTCTCCTCACAAGTGGTGCACACAAGCCTTTTCTCCATGTGACCTGCTGACCTTTAACCCTCAGACACCAGAGCAGGTGGACGATCAGGTTCATGTGTACGTGTCGCAGCTGTGAATGTTGCAGGAGATTTATTTGGTGTTGGTTCAGTTATCCGTCACTGCAGTAATTACTCAGCAGGTCAGAGCACACATGGATTTGATCATATAAAACACACCCAAGCAGGCGTACGGTGTGTTGGTGGTTTGAGCTTTTAATAGCTGAGGTGTGTGTGTGTGTTAGTAAAACCCCACATCACACCTCATTTAACCTCTGCAGGTCTGACAGATCCAGAACTCAACCTCTGCCCTTCCTATAACACTCTGTGTTTGTTCTCTGATAGGGACGTGGCAATGGCCTCTCCATCAACATCTACCAACGGATCACTTATGGCGTCTGACTCAGCACTCTCCTGCCTAAGGGGCATCGAGGCGCTGAAGATGAAGTCGGGGCCCGTGAGGAGGAATCTCTTTGGGCCTGTGGACCACCAGCAGCTGCAGCAGGACTTCCAGAGGCTGCTCTGCACGAGCGTCGAGGTGGCCAACAAGCGGTGGAACTTCGATTTCCAGGCCGACATGCCGGGAGAGGACTCCAACATAGAGTGGGAGGAGCTCAAGTGCCAGGATGTCCCAGCGTTTTACCACAGCTGCATGGTCAGGCCGGTGGTGTGGCCCGAGATCGAGGCAAAGAAGGGGATGAGGCGGACGTCATCCTCGTCAGGCGAAGCTTCACCGACGTCCAGCAGCTCGTCTGGGGAAGAGTACTTGGAGGTGACCGCCAGGAGGTGCTACAGGCGGCAGAAGCCAGGGAAACGTCGACAGTCCTCTATCACAGGTGAGTCCACAGAATATTGTGGTTCAACAAATAGTCTGATGTTTTTGGTTAAGATTGATAGCATGTCAAAAGGATCTCTTTAACTTTTGCGTTCTTTTTTTCCCTCCAGATTTCTTCAAGGTGAAGAAGAGCAGACTTCTGCATTACAAAGCTTCCTCTCGGCAGTAGAAAAGCACAACGAGACCCGATGGAGGATAAGTGGGCCTGTCCCTCCACGTGTCACCTCACATGGATATGTCTCATATCTTATGTATATATGTAGCAATTTGTAACTGACTGTCCACAAGCTCATTCAGCATGGGCTTAAAAAAACTCCTCCTACACCACATACCTTTAATTTTTCAGCACAAGGAAGCTACAGTTTTTGTAGTTAATCAAGCTTTGGTTCTACAGTTTTTGTAGATAATTATAAATTTTATATATATATACTGTATATATTCTATATACTGTTTTCCTTAGCTGACTATACTGTGAAATATTTTTTGAATGCACTCTTTCAGGAAATAACATAAAGGGGCCTAGAGGTTAAGTTTCCTCTGAACGTGCCTCGAATAGTATTTGACCTCAGTCCTCGACCTTTTTGTTTCCCTCTTGCTAAAAGTCATGAGAGGTTTTGATAAGATGAGTGACTTTTCCTGGCCTCACATCACACTTATCCTTAAGTCTCACCCCGCGGCCCTCCCCTGATCGCTCGGGGTCAAAACCTCACCCAGGGTTAAAAATTTTGGCAACCCGTCTGCGATTAGCACCAGGTTAAAGGCCAATGGTGGAGGTTTGGCAATGAGGTAATGCAGCCACACTCTGTCGGATAGTGACTTAAAATTCTGAGTAATAATAACTGTGTTCCGTATGTGACTATTTATTTATTATTTCACGATGCTAGATCATCAACTAAATAAAGTAATTGCCCCCAAATTAAAGACTATAAGTCATCGTGGCTCATACATTATTCCACCATTGCCTTTTAAAAATATCAACCATTATATTTAACACCATCACAACATAGCAAAAAATATACAAATTGCAAACTATTTCTGTTTTGCTTTGTATTATTGTATTATTTGCATAATGAGGTTGTAAAGATCTGTTTCGCACAGAACAGACCAGAACAAACCTTATTTAGTTGTATGTTTTTTATTTTCAGCTTTATGCTTCTAACATTGTAGCATTTTCCCACTCACTTTTTTTGATAATTGTTTTTTTGTAATGATCAGCTGAGCTGCGTCACATTTTCTATTGCCGTGCAAAGCGTTTGCATTGTGTCTGTGTGCATATACATGTTTGTACAAATGTGTGTTGTGGTTTTTTTTTTTTTTATCTTTGGGTTTCACAAGTAGTAAAAATTGTGGCAGCTGAGGCAGTTGAACCAAAGAAAAAATCGCTGTGCCATTCAATTAGTAACACATCATTGACACAAGTTGCTTACAGTTTGAGTAATCAGTCATGGGTCACAGAAGGTCACGTCTCCAAATATTCAACTATCAAGTGAAATCACCAAGAAAAAAAAATCTGTTCTTAAAAGTCAGGTTTTCTACATTTAACGTGATCTGTAACTTTAAGTTGACTCAAACAGGATGTGCCTATTTTCTTTCCCTACCTACAGTCATTTAGTTTGCATTAAATAAAAACCTAAATAACCTGAATGAATCCACTCTTACTACCTCATTATTCAGTTTAAACAAATAACAAAGCTCAGGTCGTTTGAGTTTTCAGGCGCAACAGAAGTGACGATTCTGTTGCGGTTAAAAGCTGCAGAGGGTTCAGCGCTAAAGTGTAGAGTTTCACATCAGGTAAAAGAGTCAGTGTGTCAGAGCGGGGGGGGGGGGCGCTCCGAGCAGAGGAAACCCTGGCCCCTCTAGGAGGAGGGGGCTGGGTTGTTGTTTTGCTTTCTCTCACTGCCTCACTCTGCTTTGACAGCTCCGCAGAAGCAGAGCAGAGGAGTAAAGTGTTTGTGGAGAGGAAGAACGAGGGAAAGGAATAAAAAGTTTCTTCAAAGTGAGATACTTCAGGGGGACACAACAGATTCTGGACATAAAAGCATTTCTCCCTCCACACAAGTGGCCTGTGATTTAGCTTTTGTCTGCTCCCACCCCCCACCCCTCAAAAAGTCACACAGCCTCTCTTTCATAAACCAACCGCCTCAGTCTCTGCGAAAAATTGGCATAAAAGCAGCCGCTCATAATCATGTTAGCACAACGTTGGCTTTTTTTCACGGCTCTACGTGGCTGTTTCCTCACCGATTTAAACAGAGCACACGTGGCTATTTAAAATAATTCATCAGGAGTACTTTGTTAACTTATCTTTGTGTGTCATACCGTGTTTGTTCGTGTGCAACTATCCTCAGTGTGTTAAAGACAAAACGTTCAATGTCTATATTAACTTATTTTGAGTTTATATCTTTGTCGTTCTTGTTGTGTAGGGAACTAATTACAAACTCAAATAAATGTTTTTTTGCAATAGTTAACTAAATGTGTTGTTTCTGAAACTACATCTTTGCACTAAAAACATTGTCGACAAGAGAAATATATGTCGAAGGTAATCTTTAAAAAATGAACACACAAATCCTCATTGAGGCGCAGATTAGGAATTTCTTGACGAAATAGACATTTTCCTCCCATTGGACCTTTCATGCTCAAATTTGTCCATTGGCAGGAAAAAAATATATAATCATAGTCAAGCCAGATGTGTTAGTGCCCAAGCAAACTTTGCTTGTCCTAATTCACCTGTCACAGCTATATCACAAATGTAGTGTTCTCTTTTACTCTTGTATATGCATGAATGCATGATTATCTTTGTATACCATTTGAAATAATGTTATTGTAATTTAATACTGATTTTATGAATCCTTGCAACATGTAAGACGTGTATTTGTATGGGATCAGAATCATATCCTTTTTTTGATAGAGATAATTTAAACGGTTGATGGGTTTTTGGTGCACTGTTGCCTTTTTAAAATGTTGATTTTATATAGTGGGCTGAGAATAATTAAATGTAAATGAATGATAAATAAAAATACTGGAGTTGAGTTTGTTTCTTGCTTGCAGGTGTCAATCAATGATGCTTCACCTTGTTTCATAGCACACAACATGAGAAAAAAACATCTTTATAAAGAGTCTTCAAGTATCAGAGAAAATGGGCTGGAAGGGAAGGTTTGTTTCTGCATCTATAGCACCTCCTGGTGGTTTTGATGTAACATTGCACATGTCACCAAAGAAGTTGCTGTTATGCTGTTGCATGCAGTGACAATATTAATGCATCTTAGAAGCTTTTAAAAGATCTAATACAAGATTGTATCCAAACTGAAAGAAATGTTCATGAATTGCAAAATGTAATTTGCATTTATTTACAACCGTTGCATTTACATTGGTTTGAACTTGAAAAGTAAATATAGATAAAAAATAAAACGAACAAAAATATACACCACAGACACACAGATTCTATGACATTTACCTTTCAAGTTCAGAGACACTAGAAGTTCAAGTCTCATTTTATGCTCCTTTGCATCAGGAGCATTTAGAAAGTTTGACAACAGGAACTTGTATCAGATTATTCTACATCCTCTTATCACACATGTTTAAAAAGGGTCAACATGATGATCCATGTATCTGCACACATGGATGCAAACCTGTAGTGTCTAATGACCATAGTGGGTGGAAAATTACTGATCTCTTTTAGAAATATGACATAACAAGACCAGTCTTTCACCATCATTAGCAGTTAAAACTTAAAAACTGATTAAAGTCCCGACCGATTTACAGCAACAACCCCAAACCAAAGAAACAGAAGTGAACCACAAGTTGTAAAGGCTCATTTAAGCTCAAACACTGTTTACCCCTGAAACTCCAAAAGTGTTTTGTGGACTCAAAACCCCCCCATCGCCATCGTGGTGAGTAGATAATGAGTGAGTTTTCATTTTTGGGTGAACTATCCCTTTAAAAAAACAACGGTAGATTGAGTGCAGAGCGGAGTGTGTGTGTCTGTTACTGTGTGTGTGTGTGTGAGAGTGTGTTATATATATATGTATATTATATTGACCAGTCAGTGTAAAAGGAATTATTAAGATACATCAAAATAGTGACTGAAACAAGTGAGATTTGAGAGAACCAGTCCCGGTAATGACAAATCTTTACGGTATCATTATTTACCCCAATAAAACAAAACTGTACACAGGAGAAATCAATCATTTGTGGTGACATTTCTAAAAACCCAGATAAAAGTGGTTCACTAAAACCTTTAAGAATCTTGAGAGTGCAATGTTCATTTTTTCAACTAAAAACAAAATATCATACATATTTACAAAGGTTGACAATAAATGTCTACATTACAAATATTATTCACATTCTTTAGGCGATACGGACCCTAGACTTTTCTTGAAGGATCTCGTTTTTAAATTAAGACCTTGTGGTTTAAAATTCAAATTCATTCATCGCATGTACATTATAAATATTTAAATCCATTTTAACCCTTAAATATATACACAAGGACATTCTGTGATGGCTCCACAAAGCCTGAAGTCACAGACAGTCAGTTCCCTTTTAAAGCTTGGTTCACTTGGACAATTTGTACATTTACATTTTTGTTTTCTACAGAGTGGAAAAAACCAAGTGTTGTGCTCAAAGACGCTCGGCCTGCTCACACTCACACACGTGCACACACATGGTGTGCTGGTGGTTGTGGGTGTGAATCCCTGTCACCTTCACCGCTGTGAGAAACGACATCCACCAAATCTTCTCACATCCCACAACTCACCTAAACAGAAGCGTTTCTGAGCAGGCCGTCGCGTCAATGGTCGCAGTCCAAACGTTACAGATGGAAGACGCGGAGGTTTTCACAGCTGGTGTTGCAGCGCTCTTCTGTCCCTCCACATGGCACGAAGTTCATTGAGGAGCAAGGGAGTGATGAACACAATGCTGCCCCCCGTCTGTAACGTAGAAACAAAAGACGTCACAAATGGGCTCTGAAGCAGCAGAATGGAATCCAGCCATTGTTCATTCTATAGTTGTGTCTCAATTCAAGGGCTGCCTAGTTCAGACGACACTGTCCACAAGGTCCAAGCAGCCCATGAACCAAAATGAGACGTTCTGGTCTACGGAGGATTTCTGTGCTCAGGTTGACTTGAAGCTCCTCCTACATTTAAAAGTACAAGCATCAGACTTCTCATCGCTTTTCTGAACCATTATCATACAGAACTGCACCTATTCTCTGCCAACCGTCAAAATGTCCTTTGTGAACAAAGCCTGTTTTAATATGAGATCATCTTACCATGACGACGAAGAAGTAGAACACACACATCCAGCCCAGCTTGCTCTCGATCAGGGACACCAGGTACTAGAAGGTGATGGAGATGCAACACAGATTAATCATCGATGTGGATGAGAGTCTGGATAAAACTAGAGCGGTGTATCTGAGAGCAAAGATAAATCGTTGCAGTTTTCTCAGAGTCGATGTAATAATAATGCCACCAGAAACGTTTTTAATCGCAATTCAGTCAGTGATTACCAATCAACAAGTTTTAAAGATTTGGAAGTATTACTTGCACTGAATTTCAAAGTGTGCCAAAAAAAACAAATTTGAAAAAATTCCTTCATGGCATTCTTTGGCTATCTCGCTCATGGGAATGGGATGGATGTACGGACAGATGGGCGGACCGACAACCCAAAAACATAAAACCCCAGGCCACTGGCTGTTGCTGCCGCAGAGGCAAATAAATATTGACACTGAGGATTTGTAAGTATAATCTCTGAGGTCTCCTTGTAGTTCATCCTGTATTGTTGTTTACCTGTCCCCCTGCAGCTCCCATACTTCCAGTTCCATCCACTATACCAGTAACAGTAGCCAGAGCCTCCTGACTGCCCCTCAGAGCCTCCTGTCGCCCCAGGTCAGCAGAAATGGCCGAGCTGATGATGTTGGATGGGCCGCCGATGAAGAAGCCGGTGACGGCCAACAGCGCGGCGTTTATCACCTGGTCGTTAGGTGAACCTGAGAGAGAGAGACAGAACTGTAAACTGTGAACCAGGACATGTTATATATTTCTAAGTCTTTGGTGCAGATTAAATGATAAAGTCTAATGTGTTGAACAAGTGCATGTGTGAAATGATGAAAAACAGCAATTATGGAAAAAAGGTAATTAAAAAAGAAAGGTGCAAACTTTAGGGATTCATTTCATTATTCTATTTTGATCGGTCATACCCTGTGTCTCCAAGAGTGCATTTTATTTACAGATTAAATGTGTGTGTACTCACGGCTGTATCCCACCAGGGCTCCCATTGCCACCACCAGACTCAGCGCCAACACTGGGGCTCTCTTACCCATGCAGTCAGAGATCAGACCCTGAACAGTTCCTCCTGACCCACAGAAACAAGGAGACAGATATCGCTGCAGATTATTTGTGTTTCGATCAATTATTCATCTGTTCATCTCAGCTCTTATGAATTTCCAGTTTATATATGAGCCTTTCTTTCTTTAAAGCTCAAAACAGAAAGCCCTGGCCTCAAATCTTAACTTAAAATAAATTTAATTAAAGCTAACAAGTGTATTTTTTTAAAATGTTCCTGTCATATTCACAAGAATATGAGGTCACTTAGAACTAGACCTTTGACCTTTAACCATCAAACTCTCAGTTCATCTTCATACCAAGTTTTAAAGCATTCTCTGCAAGTGTTCCTCAGATACGTTTGCAAAGCAAAAAGGTGTTTTGTGAGGTCACAGAAACCTTGACCTTTGACCTTTTATAGCCAAATTCTCATCAGTTCATCTGAGAGTCGAACTGAATTGAAATTCCCTCAAGGCGTTCTTGAGATATCGTGTCACAAATATGGGACAGATTGACAGACACTTGTGGCATGGAAGTAAACTTGGCTCACGCAGCAGTAAGTCTGCCTCTTACCGATGATTCCTCCGACATCGTACCACACAGACAAGCGGTCGGCCTCGGCCTCCTTCCAGCCGTAATTGCTGCTCAGGTAGAACGGAAGCCAGAAGAAGAAGGAGTAGTTGACCAGCTTCAGACATGCATAAGCCAACGAATACTGCAGTTCAAACAGAAACAGAGTCAACATGGAGTAAGACTTGTGGAATATTTGTTGTAAATGAAGCAGTCTTGACTTGTTGGGCTCACAGGTAAAACCCCCGGTAGACAGAAGGCCTGAAAGAAGCCAACAGCTTGAGGGGACTCTTCCAGGGGCTCATCCAGCTGCTGAGCCGGCTGGTGTCGTCTGCCATAAACCTCCACCTCATCCTCCTCGTCGCTCATCAGGGGCTTGTGGCTGTCAGTGTCC